AGGGTTTTAGAAATATTTCTCTCAAGCTGCTGAGTTGGCGGGGCCAAAACATAATTTTACAATGTATTTTGGGTTTATACACATGAGCAAAAGTACAGGGGGCTGGTTCAGATAACTTTTTAAGATTTGAGGCCTTGAAGTAATTTTTCCTATTTTTAATTTTTTCCTATTTTTTAAATATTAATTTGGTGGATGATTCCCACACTCTTCTCTAAAGGGGCAGATTATTTTTCATATGATCTATTTCCACCTGTGAATACTTTATCGTGTAGAAGTACGTCTTACTCATATTTTTTTAATATTCGTGCATAGTATTTCTGTAAGTTTTTATGTCACTTAAACTTATAGATTGTCAGATGAAATGATTCTTTTTCTAAATATTCAGAAAACCCATTTAAGTTTATTAAACAAAGTGGCTTAAGTTGGAGGCGATGTGTGAGCTATTCTATAATAAAAATAAAATAAAATAAAATCTTTATTTGGAAAAGTTGGATAAATTTTTTGTATAACTGGTAATCTATCTCTCTCTTGGTGGTAGTAAAACTTTTGAATATAATGACTTCTAGCTGTGACCAAACTAAAGTAAAGAGCGTTTTTGATTGAATGTTTCAACATTATTATTAAGAAAAAGTAAAATGTGTCAAGTTTGGTTCTTTTTACACTAAGGAGAATTTCTTGTGGAAACAATAGATGCAATTAAGGATAAGAACATTGCTTTCATACTCGAAAAATAAGAATTTTTGTAAAATTTAGATCTTTATAAAATGAAAAACATGTTGAAATATAGAAAGAATATTTTTGGCCATCCCTTATTTAGTTCATTTGTCTTCTGCTATCCTTCTTCCACAAGGGCTTTCCGTTTTCCTATCTCTTTTACAAATACAACAAGACTCCTTCATATTCTCTAATTTTTAAAAAATTTAAGAATTATTTATTTAATCGTAAAATATTTTTTAAAAATAATTTAAAAAATTATGACAGTGATGTCTTTCATACATTTTTTTCCTTTCATAGTTATAAGAAAATATTGTTATTGAAATTGATGAACGACATATTTTTCTGTTGAACCATGTGACATATATAAAAGATTCTTTTTTCTTCCTAAATTAGAAATATTGTTTTTTAAAGGAAATTTATAAATTAGAAATAAAGACAATAATAAGAAGAAAACAATATGATACATGTACGGTAGAAATACATGTGATGCTCTAAAAGAAAATATAAAGCTTGCAAAATCTGATAGATAATCATCCTCTAGCAAGTGCCCATAGGCACCTGTTAAAAGAATCATATTTCATTAACAAATTTTAACATATATAGTAGCAAAATTGTAATGCGAGTCTCCGACAATTACGGCAGCAAGCAATCAATTATGTTTTATTATCATTGCACGTAAGCTGGAGAATGAAGAAAGTGACAATTGAGGTGGGTGGGATTTGAACGAAACCATCTTCTCCAATGATTCCTCCTATTTTATATATAAATCTTTGGCCAGAGTCTGATATTATTAAAATCATCATGTGGTGGATTGAACTTTGCTTTTGTCCATTATAATTATTATAATATTGGTTAATGTTAATGTTATTATTATTATAGGTGATAAGGTTAATGGATATTCTAATGCTCTGGTACGTCATCCTCAATTATTAGAATCCACGAGTGAACGTAATTGCAAATGGGCCAATTTATTTTCTTACATACTTATAATTTAAGCCTCAATAATTTGAAATTTGTACCTTTAATTTACAAATACAACAAGACTCCTTCATATTCTCTAATTTTTAAAAAATTTAAGAATTATTTATTTAATCGTAAAATATTTTTTAAAAATAATTTAAAAAATTATGACAGTGATGTCTTTCATACATTTTTTTCCTTTCATAGTTATAAGAAAATATTGTTATTGAAATTGATGAACGACATATTTTTCTGTTGAACCATGTGACATATATAAAAGATTCTTTTTTCTTCCTAAATTAGAAATATTGTTTTTTAAAGGAAATTTATAAATTAGAAATAAAGACAATAATAAGAAGAAAACAATATGATACATGTACGGTAGAAATACATGTGATGCTCTAAAAGAAAATATAAAGCTTGCAAAATCTGATAGATAATCATCCTCTAGCAAGTGCCCATAGGCACCTGTTAAAAGAATCATATTTCATTAACAAATTTTAACATATATAGTAGCAAAATTGTAATGCGAGTCTCCGACAATTACGGCAGCAAGCAATCAATTATGTTTTATTATCATTGCACGTAAGCTGGAGAATGAAGAAAGTGACAATTGAGGTGGGTGGGATTTGAACGAAACCATCTTCTCCAATGATTCCTCCTATTTTATATATAAATCTTTGGCCAGAGTCTGATATTATTAAAATCATCATGTGGTGGATTGAACTTTGCTTTTGTCCATTATAATTATTATAATATTGGTTAATGTTAATGTTATTATTATTATAGGTGATAAGGTTAATGGATATTCTAATGCTCTGGTACGTCATCCTCAATTATTAGAATCCACGAGTGAACGTAATTGCAAATGGGCCAATTTATTTTCTTACATACTTATAATTTAAGCCTCAATAATTTGAAATTTGTACCTTTAATTCTTTTAAATGGAGAATTTTTTTAAAAAAGACCCTTTTTTAAAAAATAATTAATAAAAACGTTCTTTTTGATAAATAATTAGAAAAATTGACCTCTTCTTGGTCAGCTCATCAATGTTGGCAAAAAAGAGACCGATATTGTAAAATTTGGTCTTGAAAATACACGGGACGACTAGTCCCAGTAGTCCCGTGCGTCTAGTGTTCGCTTAGTCTCGTGTGTCAATGGCGCTCTAAATGATCAAATTCATGGAGCTCCCCTTTCACAGACACTCCATCCCTCTCTACTCACGCTTTCGCTCCTACTGCTTCTCCTCCTCATCCTCTTCCTCACCCTCCTCCGCTCGCATCATTGACCAAACCCTAACACTAGAACCACTCACCACGCAATACTCCCATCCGCCCCTGGCTCAATCAATGGGACCCACCCCACCCCCACCTCACTAGCTCTGGGGAAGCCCAAGCTCTCAACCTCCATCGACTACATCGTCCACACGCTACGAACCCTAGAGTTAGGGTCCGAGGAAGAGGAGGAATTGAACCAGCTAAATCCATTGGATGGGGAAGAGAGATTGGGGGAATTGTTAGAACGAAACTAGAACCGGCCGGATTAATCGCCGGCATCAATCTCGTTGTCGTAGGAGAGGGACGAGGGGTTCGCAGGAGACGGTGAGATGGAGATGGAAAGATGAAGAGGGTAAAGGCATTGACTTTCGCAGAGCTGAAGATTGAAAATGAGGAGCTTAGGAGGTTGAGGAGGGAGGGGATGACTCTGAGAGAGAGGATTAGCATTCCCAAGACTTGAGTTACCAAGGAGATTTTGGAGAAGATTCATGATTTCTGAGACTGTTCAGAAAACGACATGTATTATTTGATACTGCACAGAAAACTCACCCGTGTGTTTTTTGCGATGTATTTAGGGGTTGGTTAGCGAACACTAAATAAACGGGGCAAGTAGTCCCGTGCATTTTAACACTAAATTTTATAAAATCGACCTCTTTTTCGCCAGCCTTGGTGAGCTAGCTAAAAAGAAGTTGATTTTACTAATTATTTAGTAACAATGTCGATTTTGCTAATTATTTAGCAACAAGATCATTTTTGTTAGTTTTTTTAAAAGGGTCTTTTTTTTAAATTTCTTCCTTCTAAACCCATCAAAAAGTTCACATTTCACTTAGTGCTATTCGACCATGATATAATGTATACTTTTTATCATATATAGTTTGATTAATTATATATTTTTAAGTAATATAGTTAATTTTGAAATATTTCTTTCAAATGTCACGCGATACCTCATTAAAATCTTCACATCTTTAAATCTTATAAAAAGTACCAATTTTCTTATTTTTTGTACTTTGCTTGTTTGGTTCAAAATAAGAAAATGGCTCATAACTTTATAGAAAATAACAAGATTTCCTTTTCTTTTGTTTGTTTACATATGCCAAATTTATAGAAAAGTGTCAACTACCATCTTTATCACTTTAATGGCTATGCACATATACAAAATTTTCACATCTTTAAATCTTATAAAAAACCAACAATAGAGAGCTAAACAAGCTCGAATACAAATTAATAACTTGCCCCGAAGCTTGACAACATGCATGAATTGTTTTATATATTCAAGGGAAATGAACTTTGTTGTTTGACAACATGCATGAATTGTTTTATATATTCAAGGGAAATGAACTTTGTTGTGATTATCTTGAAATTGCATGCATTTGTAAAAAAATATTCAAGGGAAATGAACTTTGTTGTGATTATCTTGAAATTGCATGCATTTGTAAAAAATCAAGGTTCAGTCGAATGAGAAACACAAAATAAACTTCCTATTTCTCACATCCAAAATAAACTCAATGAGCAACCGTCATTACGAGATGTTATCTTACAAACTAGTTCTACAGTAGAAAATAAAAATATACACACTTCAAGAAATAAGCAGTAACAGCGGTCATAGTGGATAAATGAAAGTGCCAAATAGAGTAGTACTAATGCCACAAACATATTACAAACGCTCGATTGAATCATCTCAACTCATAACAAGAAAATTATCCCGAGCAGAAACTCATACATCTACCTTTCTGGTAAGTAAAACTAAAATATTGAAGACCAACATAACTTGATGATGGAACGTAAAATAGAACAAAAGTAAATATATTTTTGACATGTTTTCAGTGTAATCTTGTAAGCTCCTCAACTCTCCTGCAGAGCTCCTCAACAGGAACATCCATGGTCTTAGAGATCTCCTCCATCTTCACACGGCTAAGATCAAGGAAAGATTCAATAAGATCACCATCCAAGCAATTTCTAGCATCAGATGTCGACCGAAAAAACCCAACAATAGAGAGCTAAACAAGCTCGAATCAACATATTAAATGGAAAAAACAGCCCCAAAGCTCGACAACGAGCACAAATATCGACCAAGAAACCCGACAATAGAGAGATAAACAAGCTCGAATCGGCATATTAAATGGAAAAATAGCCTCAAAACTCGACAACCAGCACAAATATCGACCAAAAAAACCCAATAATATAGAGCTAAACAAGCTCGAATCAGCATATTTAATGGGAAAACAGCCTCAAAGCTTGACAATGAGCACAAATTTCAACCAAAAAAACCCAAAAAACAGCCTCATAGCTCGACAACGAGCACAAATTGCAACATCTAAAGTTTGCAATTAACAAAATATAAGTTTGTGAGGGAATAGTAACAAAACATGTGAAGTAGCAAAATTGAGTATTGTGTGCACAGAACAACAACACACTATGACGTGTCCCATCCTTGAGCCGCAGCAAGACTTGAAAGAAACCTCTTCTGAGCCTCCTTCATTTTTATAAAAAACCTCCTAGCCTTACGCTCACTTTCATACAAATGATCTAAAACCTCAAGGAATTCGTCACTATAAGAGTCACTATGGTTCTTCAAAGCTACAACTAATTATTCAGACCAATGTATAATGTGTTGATTTCTAATTGACTCCGACATTGACTCAACAAAGCTACGTATCAACTCATCATCATTTGAGTGTCGAGGTCTCTTGCTTGAAGATGGCTTTGTGTTAGATTCACGTTGGGATTTTCTAGAAGTGGAGTTTGGGGTAACGTTAGCATCAGATTGTGGCTCAACTTCACTCTTAAGTGGAATGTCCATATCATCATCATCAAGAGGAATGACATTCTTAGTACCAATCTTATCATAAACTGGCCTAACAAAATCACTCCTAGCTTGATCATCACCCATGATCTTCTGTAAATGTTTGTAGAAGGGAAGAGGCTTGTTTATATATCCTCTTAGCTTTGAATTCTTTTTGTCCTGCAATATGTGAAAAATAGTACGAAATTAGTTATAACCTTCTCACGTCCAAATAAATTAAATGTGTTGTTACGATAGAATTAATACCTGAGCCCATATTTTAAGTGTCTCCTCATCTAGAATTACCATACAGTTATCCTCATCCCACCCCGCACCACTTATGTTGATGCAAGCCTTCATATCATTGAATTTGTTTCTCCAAGTTTTCATGCGATTAATCACATGAAGGTGGGTGTAGCTGGTTTTGAATTTCATGTTCATCTTCATAGCTGCTATTGTGTAAGCTGATTTTTATCAACCTTCATTCCGGCATCCGCGAGCTCCGCAAGACACGGTATAAGCTCCGCATCATGCTTGGGGAGCCACCACATGTTGGAAACCCCATTCGAATTGAGGCTAGGAGCTCCTTGTGTTGTAGACACTTTTCTCTTTTAAGCCAATTTTTTGGTTTTTTTGGAGGGTGACATCTCTTGACTCAAATTAATGACATTGCTTTGATGTCCACCAGATTCACCTGTGGTTGGTGATATTTGTTGTGGACCGCTGCTTTGAGAACTCAAAGTGGGATTATACAAGCCTTGGTTCAACATGTTAGTGAATGAAACATGCTCTTGGCTGATTCCACTATAGTTCCCTTCAAATAGTGGAAGATGTGGGAAAGAAGACGACATTGTTTGAGGCGGATTGAACGGTTGATTTGGATATGAAACAAAATTAACATTAATACCGCCTGAATCAATTGGTGGTGCATGTGGTGAATTGGGCAAATTTTCTTTTCCTCCCTTTTTGTTAAACATACATATATGTCATAATAAAAAAAACCATAAATTTAGAAGTACATAGCTACAATATGTGAACAATTACATATCCGTACAAGTGCAATTATGAAATAAAAAACATAATTAAATATGAGAAATTACATTGTTCATACAAGCACAGTTATGAAATATGCGAAAACAATAAAACTACAAACCAATTTCTGTGGTGTCGCCATCTTTATATTTTGCACAATAATCAACCCACATTGCCCATGCAATTTGATCCCTAAGGTCCTTCCATTCATTTCTTGCATCACGCTCCTCTCTTTGTGTCCTAGATTGAGTGAAGTCAACTACGTTTGAATCATCTTCATTTGTCACGTCCTCATTTTTCTCATCAATTAGTACATTCTCATTCAAGATGTCATCTTGTGGATCTTCAATTGCAATAAAATTATGTAATATAGTACATGCTAAGACGATGTCCACTTGTGTGGGGAATGGGATCTTCAATTGCAATAAAATTATGTAATATAGTACATGCTAAGACGATGTCCACTTGTGTGGGGAATGGTTAATTAGGCTTCGCCGAAAGAATTTTGAACCGGTTCTTCAATGTGCCAAAGGTTGATTCAATTTTAGACCGTAAAGAAGAGTGTCTTAAATTGAATAACTCCCCACTATTTCTGGGTGTCCTACCAATTTGTTCCTTTAAGTGATAACGAATGCCATAGTATGGAGAGATGAAGCCAGGCATGGTAGTGTATCCAGCATCACAAAGATAATAGTTACCTACATTATAAAAGGAAAATTCGTGATCAGTTTGATCATATTATTTAATTTACTATTTATTAAATGGGGTGGAAGAATATCATCATATACTCTCAATCCGTAAGGTTGTGGTCTAGACAACGCGTCTTGCAAAATCCTATAGTCATTCGTCGCACCTTCCCACCCAGCTAGGACATATGTAAAAAGTTTATTTGGAGTGCATGCAACTAAAACATTTTGCGTTACACCTTTACGCCCTCTAAACCGTGCAACTAGATTAGAGGGTAACATTGCATCAATATGTGTTCCATCTATCATACCAATACAATCCTATCAAAACTCGACAGTGATTAAAATTATTAGTATCTCATATCATTAAATTATGAAAATCACTAACGTACGCAAAAATTTATTTCTCTCTTACCTTGAAGTAAGGAAAATAGTTTGGATTGTTGACAATCTCCGGTGGAATCTCATTAGGTGCTTGCTTCATGTATCGATCACGAAGACCGTTCATAGCTTGTAGGATCTTATTAAAGTACCTACTAACCGTTTCACCCGATCTTATGAATTCGGTCCTTATTACTCTGTTTTTGGTTTTATGACCCACTATGCTAAAAAACATAGCGAGTTGTTCTTCAATTTGATGTTTTGTGTCCTTTAGAAAACCATGATTTCGCATAACATCCGCAAGTTTGAAAAAAGCTTTAGGCCTCATTCTAATATAAGACCTACAACTACCACTATATCCTTCAAAGATGCGCTTGAAGTGGGCATTTCTACAATAAATTTTCCTCATCTTGTCCTCTCTTGGAGCATAACAAATGGATTGTGCTTAGCACGAATTCTCAATAAACAAGCTATTATTGTAATCACAGAAGATATAGTCGTATTAGCACACATCCTCGTTATTTGTTCTTCATCTACACCATCCATCTACATTCGTTACAAAGAAAAAATAGTTTAAGATGTTTACGTAACAATAAACAACGACTAAAAAATAATCAACTAACTTATCAACAAAACCCTTTTATACACCCAACAACAAGAAATCTAGAACAAGAAAAAGAAATATGCTAAGGGAATGGTTTCTTATTTTTATTTGCAAACTAAGAGCATATTGATGAGTTTATTTCTAGAATATATATATTAAACTGTTATGCTGAAAGTTCAGATACTTCAGAGCAGTTATATCTACTACATCTACACAACCTTAACCTGTGAGTTTTTCCAAGACCAACATAACCGGAATCTTCCACCTGTGCATAATGTCCATGACATAGGTATTTGGTCTCGTTAGATGCACAAATGCACATGTTAAAGAGCGTTTCTGTTGGTTTGTATCCATCTAAAACAGAAATAGCCCTCGAAGTTTAACCTATTGTTTAAGTTGTTTGGTTTAGTAGTGCTTGAGGCATGGTAATTTTGATACTGATAGCAATTTCTTCCCGTATGGAAGTTCTAATGTGTTAACAACATAAAGTGTGCACATTTCAAATTTATATGTCCTCTTATTAGTTCTGAACAAAGAGGATTTGAGCTAAATCCTGCCAGTATATTCAGCAATAGGAGCTCACTCTAATTGAATGGCTAATTGGTAGGGTGCAGATTTGCAGCTGAAGAAATTCCTAAGAATAAAAGATTCTACTCAACATTTTATTATGCTCTATGGACTACTAGTACCATGTGAATAAGTTCTACAAAAACAAGTCATAATCAGGAAACAGCTTACTTGAATTGCAGCTTTTGGGGAGGCAATTCTTCATACTATTGGATATATATATTCAAGACAGGCTTCTGGAGCGCTTGGAAAGAAAATTATTTTGATGGGTGTCCCCTTTATAGCTGAGTGAGTTCGTGATAAAGTTCACTTTGTTAAATCCCAAGTAAATGCAGCTTCAGGTGTGCTTTACAACCAAGCTTCCCTATGCCAATTTCATGTGTCAATCAGGAAACAGCTTGGTTGTTGATGATAGTGTAAACATGAAATGGCGTTTCAAATTCACGTTGGTGTATCCATAGTTTGCAAAACACCATTTGAACTCATTCTTTTACCCAGAGAAACTTGTTTTGGTGCCTCTATGTTTTAAAGCTATGTTCAAGAACAAAGATGAGGGGAAAAACTCATTTTTCTGACAAAATATTATTAATGTCTTTTACAACTTCCTAATATTTTCCATGCCTTTTAAGATCATATTCTAATATAACCTTCAATAAATTTTTAATATATTGTTTCACTTTTTTCCATTATCTCTACATTGTAGTCATGATCTTGAGATGCATCTTTCTAAGTAAACATTTTTATCTTCAAGCAATTGTTTATCTATTCCGAATTTTTTTGAAGTCATGCACGCAACATGTGGATTTCCTGTTGATCTTATGATCATATCTAATAACATAAAATTAACAAATTGATCTTATGAATTCGTTTAACAATACAATTTTCAACCATAAATATGAAAATAAAAAGAACAGAAATCAATTAACTATGAAAATGAAAAGAACATAAACCCTTGCATCATTTTTCGTTAATTGATCAATTACAAATAGATGAACACAAAAAATGAGCAAAAAGAACAGATTATTACCGAGAGCTTGAGATCAGAAACCCTAGCGCCTAGATCTGAGGCGATGGAGGAGAAGGAATAAGATCTAAGAGGTATTTGGCGCGAAGGACCAAAACCCTGATGGATTCGAGGTGGGAACGAGGGATTTGGGGCGGGAACGAGCAAATGGTGAGGGAACGCGCAAGTTGGGGCTTCAGAATGAGAGCGGATTTTTTCCCTCTCCAAGCAGTTCGAGAAAATAAAAAAGGCTGGGGCGAACGGGGGTTTTTATTTAAATATGGTATGTTTCAGATTTCTAGTGATTTCCTCTCATTTTGAGAGGAAATTGCTTTTTGTAAAATTTGGTAGGTTTTGATATTTTATAAAAATATTTCTGTAAATTTTTTGTTGAACCAAACACAATTTACAGAAATCTCTGGAAAACTTTTAATTACAAAATTGCTATTGTCAGATGTTTTGAGAAAAGTTTTCTTAAGAAGTGTGCAACCAAACAGCCCCTAATGCTCTGGTACGTCATCCTCAATTATTAGAATCCACGAGTGAACGTAATTGCAAATGGGCCAATTTATTTTCTTACATACTTATAATTTAAGGCTCAATAATTTGAAATTTGTACCTTTAATTCTTTTAAATGGAGAATTTTTTTAAAAAAGACCCTTTTTTAAAAAATAATTAATAAAAACGTTCTTTTTGTCTTTTAAATGGAGAATTTTTTTAAAAAAGACCCTTTTTTAAAAAATAATTAATAAAAACGTTCTTTTTGTTAAATAATTAGAAAAATTGACCTCTTCTTGGTCAGCTCATCAATGTTGGCCAAAAAGAGACCGATATTGTAAAATTTGGTCTTGAAAATACACGGGACGACTAGTCCCAGTAGTCCCGTGCGTCTAGTGTTCGCTTAGTCTCGTGTGTCAATGACGCTCTAAATGATCAAATTCATGGAGCTCCCCTTTCACAGACACTCCATCCATCTCTACTCTCGCTTTTCGCTCCTGTTGCTTCTCCTCCTCATCCTCTTCCTCACCCTCCTCCGCTCGCATCGTTGACCAAACCCTAACACTAGAACCACTCACCGCGCAATAGTCCCATCCGCCCCTGGCTCAATCAATGGGACCCACCCCACTCCCCACCTCACTAGCTCCGGGGAAGCCCAAGCTCTCAACCTCCATCGACTACATCGTCCACACGCTACGAACCCTAGAGTTAGGGTCCGAGGAAGAGGAGGAATTGAACCAGCTAAATCCATTGGATGGGGAAGAGAGATTGGGGGAATTGTTAGAACGAAACTAGAACCGGCCGGATTAATCGAATCCATTGGATGGGGAAGAGAGATTGGGGGAATTGTTAGAACGAAACTAGAACCGGCCGGATTAATCGTCGGCATCAACCCGTTGTCGTAGGAGAGGGACGAGGGGTTCACAGGCGACGGTGAGATGGAGATGGAAAGATGAAGAGGGTAAAGGCATTGACTTTCGCAGAGCTGAAGATTGAGAATGAGGAGCTTAGGAGGTTGAGGAGGGAGGGGATGACTCTGAGAGAGAGGATTAGCATTCTCAAGACTTGAGTTACCAAGGAGATTTTGGAGAAGATTCATGATTTCTGAGACTGTTCAGAAAACGACATGTATTATTTGATACTGCACAGAAAACTCACCCGTGTGTTTTTTGCGATGTATTTAGGGGTTGGTTAGCGAACACTAAACAAACGGGGCTAATAGTCCCATGCATTTTAACACTAAATTTTATAAAATCGACCTCTTTTTCGCCAGCCTTGGTGAGCTAGCTAAAAAGAAGTTGATTTTACTAATTATTTAGTAACAAGGTCAATTTTGCTAATTATTTAGCGACAAGATCATTTTTGTTAGTTTTTTTAAAAGGGTCTTTTTTTTTAATTTCTTCCTTCTAAACCCATCAAAAAGTTCACATTTCACTTAGTGCTATTCGACCATGATATAATGTATACTTTTTATCATATATAGTTTGATTAATTATATATTTTTAAGTAATATAGTTAATTTTGAAATATTTCTTTCAAATGTCACGTGATACCTCATTAAAATCTTCATCTTCTTTAAAAAAAAATCTTCATCTTCTTAATAGCACCAAAAGTCGGAAATTTTTCCATCAAGTGGCCTATCATGTGAACTAGAAGTCTTGGCCCATTATATTATTTTCTTGAAAGAAGCCTTAGCCCATTAAATGGCCTATCATGTGAGCTTGAAGCCTTGGCCCATTATATTAATGGTTACATTGGCTTGGACTAGTCATAGTTTCACGGCTAAATCAACAAATATACGGTAAATCCAACTGTCACGATTGGAATTGTTAGACCCTAATGTCATTAGGAAAAAACCCTAGAGGTGGAGTGAATAGGGTTTATACTAATCTAATCTAATTTAATATCAATTAAAATTAATTAACAAATATCCTAACAAATATGATATACTACAAGATATATATGCAAGAATAAGCAATATAAACAATGGTGAAATATTACATGGAAATTATTTGCAACGATATGATATTTGGTATGTACAGATGAAAGCAAGTGATTCATGGATGTGGAAGCAACTCCTGAAGTTAGAGATTTGATGATAGGAAGATATGAGAGTATTCGCAATCTGAAAAACATCATTGAAAATTGCTGCAAAAGTGGTAATGTTCAAATTTCCTGTTTACAAGAATCTACTGCAACCTACACAAAAAGTTACATGGACCGGCACAGTTTGGGGTGGTTTTCATTGTCCAAAACACTCGTTTATACTTTGGTTAGCCATCCATTCAAGATTACTAACTAAGAAAAGACTGTGTCGCATGAGAATCTTAGACGTAAATAAAAATCATTATGTCCTATGTTCAAATCACATCGAAACAGGTGATGGACTGGTTAAACTTCAATTGGAGATCATGTTCCTGGGATGAAATCATACACTGATATAGTTACAGGTTGAAGAGGAAAGGATTCATTGAAAATTTAAAAAGAATGACCCTTTTATCCTCTGTGTATCATCTTTGGCAGGAGAGAAACTTGAGGATCTTTCAGTACAAAGCTCGTCAGCCGGAAGTTCTGTTCCAAGCTATAAAGATATCAATGCTCTCAAAAATCTTGAATAAGAAGTTTCCTGTACATATTAGAGAGAAAATTGAAAAATTGTAAAGGAGTCTTTCTCAAGATGTGTTACCAGGCTTTGTTTGGTTGAATGATTGTACATAAAGTTTCATATTGGTAAATGAATAAAGCTTTTTTCATTGACCAAAAAAAACAAGGGTGAAATAAACAAAAACAAAAAAGAGTGATAGTGCGCAAATAAACCAACACAAACACAAGCAAATGATCACGGAGTTCGGTCCTTCTGACCTACGTCTCCACTCCTCACTCCCGGGGAGAAATCCACTATCACACCAGGTTTTCAACGTTGAACCGAAAACGTTTACACCACACAATATCGGTTTTCAACGCTCACCGATCAACATTCACAATCACTCACAATGTAATTACATAACTACCACCTCAAGTGTTGGCCTCTCACGTGTCTCCCTCAAGTACTCAGAATTACTACCTATCACTAGGCTTTACTACCGATGCCACTCCTCTTGGGACCGACCACGTCTCTCACCTCTACACTCCGCTTGATGTACTTGTGCAATACAATGTGAACCTTACTAATTAACGCTCAACAATAAATGATTGTTCTCTAAACAATGTGAGAACTCAATTAACCCTACACTCAAAGTCACAATCTCTCACAACCCTAAATATACTATGTATGAAAATACTAAAAGCTCAAGTGGGTGTGTGTAACAAAGAGTGAAATAAAAAATAAACTTAATTATGAAATCTATCTTAATAACAATGATAATCAAACAAGTATATAAATGTAAAGCTAGAGTTTGAGTTTAGAAAACTTCTCCAATGAATAAACAAGAGAGAGAGAGATGAGATGAAGCTCAAACACCAAAGGAAGATCTCTTCTAGCTCTTGTGAAAATTTCTTCACAAACCAAACAAACACTAAAAAATTTAAACAAATATTAAACTCTTGTAAACTTGTTTTTAAACACTTCTTGATTACTTCAGAATGTTAAAGGGCAAGGGGTATATATAGGATCATAACACAAAGCCCAAAAACCATGAAAAATCAAGCAAAAAGACAAAATAAAAAAAACTAGAAATATAGCCGTTAGAGGTCGTCAGTCGACTGATGAATAGTATCAGTCGACTGATGAGCTGACTGTTACAGGCAGTTCACAGCTCATCGGTCGACTAAAGACCTCATCAGTCGACTGATTGTTCATCAGTCACAAAAACAGAAACTTTTGATAGTTCCAGGCAAGTTCATCAGTCGACTGATAAATGTTGGATATCATGTTCCCATGATATAATTTTGATGATAACAATTTATTCATAACATGAATTACTATGTGTATTATTATGCACTAACATTTCAGTACAGATTTCAATATGAACAAGTGCAAGATGAGTTTAATGCATAATGAAGTAAAGAAGATGAAGAGCTTATGTATCAATGTAATTTTTACATTTTCTTTACTTATAAATATTGTACAAGCCTTGATCACTCACATACACATATATAGAGATTAAAACACATTAACACATGCTTAATGTGTTGGTTAACAATAGAAATTCTCTATGTTAACCATTAGAGTTTTTAGTTAATCATTGAGTCAAAATATATTTCATACATAATTTTTTCATCCCTTAGTAGCCGACTAATTAGTTTTGTAGTCGACTACTGAAGTCTAAGATTAAAACATAAGTTTCTGTAAAATTACAGAGTAGTCGACTACTCAGGATTATAGTTGACTACTCAGCTTTGAATTTTGATTTATAGAACTTAAGTTTTACAGAGTAGTCGACTACAACTAACTATAGTCGACTACTGAGCTTTGAAGTTTACTTTACAGAACATCTGTTTTATAGAGTAGTCGACTACTCAGGATTATAGTCGACTACTCAGCTTCAATTTTTTTTATTTACAGACTTTTTTTTTTACAGAGTAGTCGACTACTAAACATTATAGTTGACTACTACGACATTTTTTCTGAACATTTTAAGTTTGAATTTGAAACAGTTTTTAGCCATTTAAATCCGTTTATTGAGTTCAAAAATGTGTCTTTTCAAGGGATATAAATAGGTTAGAAGTTTAGAATTTTGGATCACGAAAAAATAC